ATGGAGGCGAACATACGCACTGAGCATTTGTCGAAATATGGAGCTGTTTATTTGTCCAAACGCCCACCTCAATAGCCCGACGTGTTGGTTCCCGGTCTTCGAGGTCTTTCCGGATTGTCTGGAGCAACCCAAGTCATCTTGAACCAGGACAACCAAGTCACGTTCGAGAGTTGAATATTGTAGAATATTCGTTCCGAGCCGGTATGAGTAGCTGCTCTGATGTCGGATGGAAAGCACCTTGCATTTACTGACGTTGAAATGCAAAATGTTTTGAGTCGACCATTGATACACCGTATCTAATTCAGTTTGAAGCACATGCTGGTCAGTGTTCGCCTGGATCCTGCGCCAGATCTTGATATCGTCGGCAAACATTAAGAAGTGTGAAGCGATTCCCTGTGCAAGTTCATTATTAAACACCACAAACAAACGTGGACCTAGAACTGAGCCTTGCGGCACACCACACTCGACTTGTATGGGGTCCGATAAAGATATCCGAACTCCGACCACTAATTGCCGTTGGAGTAGAAAGTTGGCGATCCAGCTTAAAGGAGGGTCTCTGATCCCGTGATGATAGAGCTTGGATAGTAGTATCCGATGGTCTAGACGATCCAAAGTCTTGGAAAAATCCAGATAGATCACGTTAACACCCTCGCCAGCGTCAGCTGCTTCGGTCCAACTACTGCGTGTAATTAGTGACTTCGTTGTACATTACCGCTGTCGACGGAAACCGTGCTGTTCAGGAGCGATGAGGTTGCAGTTTTCCAGATAACACACCAGTGAATCGGCGACTATGGATTCTATGATCTTGGAGAGTATAGGAAAAAGGGATACTAGGCAGTAGTTGGAGGGATCAGTTCTGCTTCCACTTTTCTGAATCGGGGTTATTATTCCAAGCTTCCACATGGTGGGGACTTGGTTCTGGTCTAAGCAGCGCTGAAAAATCTGAGCTAAAGGTCCTGCCAGTTGGCTTGCTGCTGCTCCCAATGCCTCAGGACGAATGGCGTCGACACCCGGCGAGTTGTGTTTGCGTAGAAAAGTCAGCTTTTGCAATACAGTCACTGCGGTAAAAGTGATGTGGGTTAGTCCTGGTGAGCAGAAGACAAAGCTTGGTAGACCGCTTGGTTGCAAGACTCTTTGAAACGTGGGGGTGTGTTGCACCTGCATCGTGTTTGCAGCTTCCATAGCCGTTCTTGGTGGGCCATCAGCCGTGTTGCGTAGAGGAAATCCTTGCCTCACCTTTCGTAGCCTATTAACGTGCTTGTACAGCTGTTTGTGGTTAGCACTGAAGGTTTTTGCGATGTTCTGCTGATAGGCGGCTTTGTCTTCTCTTAACAGTTGAGTGCCTTGGTTGCGTTGGGCCACGTAGTTGTTCCAAGTTTCTGGTGCTGGAGCTTCTCTGTACACTCTGACACACAAATGCAGCTATGTAAAGTGAATAAGACGTTCCAATCCCTGACTAAAACGTTGCATTAGTATAAACTAGGCAGCTGCGCCCAGTAAATCTATTCATCTAAAGTGGCAACGTTATTTTTTTATCTCCTCAAAACTATAGACTTTCGAAGCGTAGCTGTGACCGCTTTGATTGGTTAGTTATTCCATATTTCTTGTGTACACTGAGACATTCATTAGTGGTGGTCGGTAGGTGATAACTGTAGTTTTGATGTTACAAATTAATTTATTAACAGAAGACATATATCGCCACAACTAAGTAAACGCCACGCCATTTTCCGTTTAGCCTTGCTAGGGTTCAGCCATATTTTAGGGTAGCAAACGAGGACTTCCGGCTCGTGAGTTTCGGGCTGTAGGCAAAAGTAACTCGGTTGTTTTAAATTCCGAATTACATTAGATCGAAGAGTTACCGCCGAATCACCACTGGGGTTAAGTTGCGATACTTCAGTGGCTCTAGTAGATAAATAGAATGGTTCTCGGATCAAATCGGTGCAATTCCAATGCATTTTAATGTGCCGCCAGAGCGAATTTACAATCTCCGTTGCTTGCCGAACATCCGGAGAGCATTTGGATTTCTAACTAAATCCTTTCTCTGTCCGCTGACCTAAAGTGACTGCAGTGAACATAAACATTCTGTCGTAGGAAATAAATTCTTTCCGTTGTGGCGCAAACATCAACGTGCTAAATTTGATGCACTGACAGCACCTCTAGGGACTCTGTGACATACTTAACCTCTGTGTGCTCCATTGCCAAGGATGTCAGGCTGCACAGTTGGCACCTGGGCGTCGGGTATAACTCTATAGGAACAAAGCAGAACTGATGTTTGTGAAACGAAAATTCATGTATGATCTAACAAAATGTAGGTCGATTCACAGCTTCTTTTCACGTGTGTTGACACTTTTTGAATTATCTTTTCGATTTTAAATGCCTAACTTTCATCAACCTGTTCACACCAGCGCGAACCAACCGCCAGTGGTTCAGCTACCTCCTGTGTTTGAAATAAAGAATCCCTTTCATCGTTCCGAACAAGAATGTCAGCCACTGTGTTAGGGGATGAGGCAGTTAATGCGCTCATTCGAACCAGGGTTTGCATCTGAATGGCGACGATATGGACTTGACAAGCCCATGGAAAAATTCCATTTGCCGTACACCCTTTAGTTAGACTTACTTACTGTTCCAGCCAGAGTCTGAAGTCACATGGACACGTTGGATAAAGACAGATTATGCAAGACGCACATCCGCCTGAGTTCGGGCATCCATCTCACATCCTTTCACTAAACTACAACCCAGTGGATCGCATGTAGTGTAAAGGGAACCTGGGTTAACTGCAATGCTCAGCCACAATTGCGTTTATCATGCAACAGCACAAACACACTTGTGCAGACTGCATTGCGCCAATGGTTGGCAGCGTTTCCCACTCATCTGATTAACACGCCTGAAACGGGAGCGTCTTATCAGGGAGAAGAGTTTGCTCAAGGAAACCAGCCAGACAGCCAATGAGAGACGAGCATGGCGGATTTGATTATTAGTAGTTGAGTAGTCGTTGTCTACCTGCGCTACGGTCAATTCTTCGTCGTTTGTTTAGCCGAGTCATGGGAGGAACCTCATCGGCACAAAAAATTTGTTGTTTATGGAAGTGTACATACAAGATTTATCCAAGCGCTTTGTGTCAAACGCGCTGTACTTTCCACTGATTTGACTGCTGAGTAACTACTTGTTCATGAAGGACTGAATGCTGCAACGACACCTTCTTTATACTACTGGTAGAATGTCCTGAATATTATGACTGTTGTTGTGAGCCAGAAGGTGTATGTGCAACTGGCTACCACTCAGCATCCTTTTGAACTCGTATAGTAGTGGAGATTCCGCTAGAGTTTCATGGAACATACTTTAAAGTACTCAAAGTCCATGCAAAGCAGCCAGGTTACAGTGTACATTTTCTACTGAACCACTTGTTTGTTCACGAAGTAAGGATATGCTGCCATGGCTGACCACATCTGTGGTTATTTATCAGTTCAAGTGCGCTTGTGACGCTACTTATATTGGTCGAACGGCACGGCACTTGTTGAAACGCGTGAAGGAGCACTGCCCGCGCTGGTTGCGTCAAAGAGGAACTGGGACTATTAGCTACGCCGTTTTGGCCCATATTGTCGACACGGGCATCAAGTTGACCCAAAGCGTGCCTACAGGATAATTTACAGGGTCCCCGAGCATCAATCAAGAGGTTTGCGCCTCCGTGCGCTCGCGACAGCTGAATCGATTTGCATTCGGTTGTTGCAACCTTCATTATGCTCGCAAAAGAAGTTGTTCCATGCCTTACAGCTTCCCTGGTCAGCTGCAACGAACGATGCTGAGGTCGGTTGCAACAGATCAAGCTCGGTACCGTGCAATCAACCTGTCAGGTCAAAAGTCAACTTTTAGCCTCCCTCACTGAACCGTTAATTAACTATGTAATTCGAGCCAATGAGTCGATTTCAATTCATTATTTTACCCTTAAATATGATTGTAATGGTCTGAAGAGAATCATCGAAAACAATTGTTCACCTATGGGAATTTTCAAGTTACTCAAATTCGCTTGCTCCGAAAAGTCGTGCACTACACTGTTCCAAATGTGGAATCACTCTAACCCAAGCTGAATTATTCAACACCAGCCTAGTAAGCAAATGGAGGGGTTGGTTTAACACTCAGCCAGTGGAATGAGCGTCATGCTACGGGCCGAACTTCGTGAGATCGTCAAACCATGATGTGTATCTCGTTAAGAAGGGGATTGAGAGTATTGGGGGATAATAAGATGGCCTGGCTTATAGTCATTCATACGATGGTAGCAGAGGTATTAATATACGTTTAAAAGGACAGTACCACAAGTAGAACAAGTCAAACAATGACCAACATTCGCATAATGACGTTGTAACCGTGTTGTCCTTTCGGGGCTTATTGAAAAGGTGCACCAGTTCTACAGGGTTAGGGTCTATCTGACTGGGTGTGGTTGTGATGCACCTCAGTTATCCTGTGGACAATAATCTACCCAGAGCATTCATAATGCTGGTGTGCATACCAAATGTGGGAAACTGCTGCCTAGTGGGCTACGCAGATCTCTTTAAGACAATAATACGCAAAGCAGACGACTGAACGGCGCTACGACACAAGTAGTTTTCTGGTTATGTCGGCCACCGGTATCCACTCCGCTTAAGCCACCGGTTGTAGCATTTGAAAAGTAGTTTCTGGTCTCTCAGTGGGCGGAGGAACAAAAATTTGCTAGAAGAGCATCGGAGAGAACTGTACGCAAGTTAAGCTCGAAATACCTCCAGCGTTCTTAGGAACCTAGTCAGATTCTCCCTAAACAGAATCGAAATTAACCCAGATAAACGCACCAGTTTGTTCACCTGATTCGCAGCTATCAACCCAAGGATAAGCAACTAATCTTCGACATAATATTTTTCAAATTCTGTTCAGCTGAAAATTGTACACAGCAACAGTAGTAGAAGGGAGCAGAATTCCGTATTCTTTCACTCTTCCGGATGATCCACAATCACAAACAGCTTAGGCTCTCTAAATATGTACATCTGGAATGGTGCGGAATACATCCAAGGCATTAGTCGACAGCGACAAAAACTTCCACTGATAATATGGTACAGGCATCACAGGTTGAGATTTTGGGGCGGAATATGTTGTTTCAGTGGTACGTGCAGCTTTCTTATGCGGTGTCTCCGCTACCCCCTTGGGGACGGAGTGTACTCCCGTTCATCTGCGTCCATGCCCAAAAGACAGCTGATGTCGAAGCTCCTTTTTGGAGGGTAGGCTTGGTCTGCAGCATCAGAAGGGGATAGTCGTCTTCTAATACCGATTTTATGCGTTTCCATGGAGTGTGTTTGCCAGCGGTCACCAACTGATAGCTCGTTTTCAATCCTTTGAACGGACATTTTATCCTGGAAATGAAGTAAAGGCATGTTTTAAAAAAGGAACAAACGATAAGTGTCATAAACATGAACCAATGAAGAACAAGTGTCCCGATGAGCTCCACAAGTTGCTTAACTGTGGTATCCGAGGTTGCGTTTTATCACAACTGGTTACTTTGCCTTAGCAGTTGTCAACAACCTTCGTTGGTAGAGGTAAGGAACATTGGTGCAGACGGCGTGGATTTTCACTTTGATCCCCACTTAACCCCAACACTGAAGGAGGACAAAGTGCAGAACGATCCCTTAATGTCACTGACATTGTGTGATCCATCCGATGTAGGTGTGTAGCCAATCTGGCTAGCACGTTCTTATGGAAGGCATTCATGAAAGAGATGCGAAATACAGGGGACCCGAGCTGCTTTGATCCCCACCTATCTGGTGGCTACGAAGCATATTATCCGCACCCAAGTAGTTGTCACCTCGCAATGGAACACATGTCGTTTTCCGTCCTCACCACAATAACAACAACAATAACAGCACTAACCTATGTTTTCCCATGAACAATTGATCGGCGGTATGGCACTTTGCATTCATGATGTGCAGACGACAGAATGCCACCTTACTCATTAAGGAACTGCTGAGCCAGACATTCGTGGCAAGCTGTCATCCGTTAAAGGTTACCTGTGTCTCATATTTGCTATTATGACGCTCACGAGGTGGACGTTCAAGTTTCATAGTCCCACAGACACATAAGACCCAGCATATCCGAAAGATTACATGGGTGAGTGAATGCCGATCTTGCAAAAGCGGCATTGACAGGATGGTTGAAATTTAAGATCTAATTGCCAAATAATTTGTCCCTCACACAATTTTTAAGTATGTACACTCGTGAGTCGTGGATTAGTTAAACATATAGTTATTTCTAGTATAGATCGGATGATATCGCGCTCTAGAGGACAGTGGAGAACATACAGGCATCAACAGCTGTGATTGAAAAATGACTACGAAAGAAGCAAAGGAGCTTGAGCATCGTTAATCCGCAATGAGAGACAGAAAATTGTCGGGGCTCGATTATTCCCGAGGGCCGCCTTATGGAGATGGAATTTTGAAACAAGACAGCGCTCTAAGAACCCAGGCGGATGATTATTGAGCGGTAACACATAGGCTTTTAGCAATGTAGCATGATATAATGCAATTCAAAAAGGCGGAATACTGTTGTATCGCCGCTGACGCCTTCACCCCACGACCGCAAAAAGTCCAAAGACGAGCCAGAAGGAGACTTTTATACATGAAATCACAGTTGCTTATATAGGTTTGAGGGCAAAATGAAGGGAAGATACTAAAGTACACTTGCGCCAACCAACAGAAGGAAAACAGTAAATGCAAAGGCGAATAAGCAACCGTGTACTCAAGTGTGAATCGCATATGTCCTTAAAAATAGCATCATTGGACTCCAAGCGTAAAGCGAACGACCATTTACAGTGACGGGCACTGGCCAATCAGAATGACGAAATGAAACGTTTAAACAAAAGTCACGAAACAAAGGAGAATAAGGAATGCAGACCACGGACGAAACCGCTCAATCGACGCCTCGTCTGGAGAACCCTCCGTGCCGACGAACAGGAAGAATTTGGAAGTCGCCGAAATCCCTCCAGCGCAATCCTCGTCAGAAGCGGTACGCTTTCTCTTCAAAGGAAGGTGTTGCGGGCCCGTCAAATATTCCCGCAAAAACGCGCCAGAAACCCCCGTAGAACAGCTGTGGAATGCAAGGTTCAATTCCTCCTCACAACGTAGCAGAGTTAAGCCACTCCGAGACGCGGCCCAACTGCGCATCTTTTGACAATGGTCTTTTACAAACTACCACCTCGTCGTGGTAGAAGTTTTCCCTATCTTAATGACCCATAGCATTGTCTGTGATTCGCCCTTTGTTGGTCGTAAAAGAGCCTTCAGAGGACTGCCTGTCTTTCTTTCCTCTTCGCCTTACTTGGGAGTCGGTCGGGTCACGTGCTTTTGTGTGCGTCGTTAGCTAGCCGGCGTTCGCTTCTAAGTCACTAGCGCGCGTCTACCATAACCGCCCCTCGTGTGCTTCCGTTCCGAGGGCTCAGCGTCTATCCAAATACGTGCGCCTAGGATCGTTCTCACGCTCGCTCAATTTCCGTCTCACCGGCTAAGCCAACGTCATCAGGTCAGCGCAACTCCGTTCGATTGGCCAGAGTCACAAGCCGTTATCGTAGGCGTGCTCCAACCGTGCCAGCGACAATCTTATCAGGCGTTTCGCAATCTGAGCAGAGGCGTTCCTTCAATTATAACAAACCCAAACGATGACAAAACAACATATGAACTGATGGAGGCTAGAGGAGGATCGCAGGCAAGAAGGGCCTGTGAACAACCTAACTGTGACTTTCACCGATCGAATGTTAAATTATGTGTAGCCAATGAGCCCAAAAACAGGATAAGGTTGTATCGCAACTAAAATGTTAGTAAAATATGCACAGTTAAGCGAATTGCGCAAACCACAATTTTTCAGGATCCTGGATATCACCGTCGACAACAAAATGTAATTAATCTACAAGGTGAAATCTGCTGTTCACACAAGACAGCCAGAGGACAAGTGAAAACACGTTAGAAGGGTGAGAGTAATAGCAAAGGCACTGACCAATCATTTCTGATCCAACCACAGAGTGAGGAAAGAGTGATTGGTTAACAGAAGGCGTACGTACGGTAAGTCCAAGCAGTCTGGTCCCTCTATTCTGTTAATGCGAGACAAAGGGTCACTCTTTCGGGTGTGAGGTAGAGCGCACTAAATTGCCAACTGTCCAATGGTAGATGTTGGTCTATCTCAAAATGTCCCTCACCCGGCCGTATGGGTGTAGAACGACCGTATTCATGCATGTGGGTACATATGTACATGCCAGTCTCGTCCATCATCAAGTAAACGCTAGATCATGCGCGGATGGTTGAGTTGAAGTCAACCTACGGCACTCCACGGGACAATTTCACCGATCGATACATGCAGTATGTCGGGCTGGTTGGAAGGCAAGATCGCGCAAGATCGAAATAACGCTGTCTCATGACCCGGCTACTGCGGTAGAATCGTGGTTACGCTTGCGCAGGCGTAACTGGCTTATGCAAAGATTGTGCCATAGGTGCTCAGTGTTCTCCCAGCTAATGACAAAAGGGGACGTCGTATCGAAACTATACTGTCTTTTCTATCTGTTAGGAAGGAATACGCGAGTTGAACAAGCCAGGACCCCATCGCCGCGGCCGGCGATCCAAGCTCATCCGCCCTGATTGGGGCGAACAGAAAGCCAACCAGGAGAAGCGGCTAATGAACGCTAGATCGTTTAATGACTGTAAGTTAACCTTTCCAGAACTTTCCACAATCGCTTTATATACTATTCACGAACATTCCATTTTACCTTGATATTGAACGGTGTGATTTGCTAATTCATTCCTGTTGCTCTGCTCGTCCGATTCGGTCTTCTCTCTGTCCTGTGGGGGGCCAGCGAATTCGGATTTGATTGGGAATCAAGCGTCCAGTTCTGGCGAGGGACGAACACTTCATTATCACGCTTACTAATCGACACAACCGAAGTGAAAGCGCTTTCGCAATCGCATGCCCAAATGAAGATGTCCTTTTTCGTTTAACGCTTTGAATTACTATTTCTCTGGGATGCTTTGTTGTCTACTAATCCGCAGTTTTGGTGTAAAAAAGCTGAAAATGCACCCATACGGGTGGCTAAATCTTTCTTTGATTTGACTTGATAATGCTGAAATATTTTGTTTCTCAATAGTACAGTAGCGTGGAAAATGACAGATATTGTGCATAAAGAAGGGCTGCAGCTCAGGGTAGGGAGTATCAAAAAATATTATGTTATTGTAGGACACTTCTGTCGAGACATGAATAGGATTTCAACGCTGAAATTACCTACTGGATTATCGTCGTTGCTGGCATAAGTGAAAGCCATCTGGTTTTCCAGTATCCTAGAATGCTTTGATATTCCACCATTGCTGAGTCACAGAATTCCTTTAGTTCTTCAACACGAACAGTGTAAATGTAAAAGTAGGAATATATTTCGGCCACAACCGTTTCAACATCAATAGAACGACAGTCAGCTGTCGTTTGCAATGTGTTGTGGACAATGTGAGCTACGCGATTAGTTCCCACAAGTGTTTCTCCAATCGAAGATTCCAATTTCACAAATACATTGTTTGGTCCACTTCTTTGAACGCCACCGAAATTTGTGTTGCAATTGTTAGCACAAAATCCCACAATTTTCTAATCAGGTTATTTTGTTCAAACACATCATTTGTACATGTACAAATGGCGCCCGATGTGTCTTCAGTAAGTGACTGCAGGTCTAATAACGACAATACTCAATGACGGCACAAAATATCTCACAAGGAGTGTGAACACCTTTAGTTTCTTGTGACTTGAGGCGTCTGTGAATATTGACACGGATTTTATTTGCTTCAGGGTTTCATGAAGTTTATCTCTGGCCAATGGGAACAGGAGATTTATTATTATTAGTATTATTATTATTATTATTGCCTCACCTTTTGTGCGAACACAAGCAACCTTCGGCCCAAACTATTTCTCTACCCACTTGTACATGGACGTACAGGGCAAGGGGTACGAAGATGATCATACTATCCGGGTAATTTTTGATGGTATTGTTCCGTTCGAGGGGTCATCGCAACCACAAATAGAAGTCATTTGGAGGAAAGCATAAGTACAGTCCAAATGTCAACCGACACCACGTTTCAGTGAAAGTTACCCATCAATGGAAGACTCCACTGCATTGACTTTTGTGAATGGTTCATCCACATGATGGGATCAAGATAGATCAGTGATGCCTAGAGATTTCACTGAGTTGGTTTTTGAGGGATTATGTAACAAGCTGTTGATAAGGACCTCTTATATGTAGTAAACTACGACATCATTGCAATCTGACGCTCGAAACGACAGCACGCGGGTTAACGAACGAAAAGTGAGATTATTGTTTATACCTTGTAATCTGACTGAAGACGCAGTGGTCAAGTGATGGACACCTGAAGCAATGTCATCCACATACTTTAGTAGATCCGCCCGTGAGCAGAACGACCACACGCCTACCTTGTAATCCAGAGGTCGTGGGTTCGAGCCCCCCTGAGGACCGGGCCGCCGTCGCAGTATGCTTAGCACATGCGCGACTGACGGTGGTTGCGTGGCAGCTAAAGGTCGGTACTTCGTATCAGCCTACTGATGATACCTCTTTCTCGCCTCCTAAGGGAGTGGTATCGAGACGACGTAAGTGGAAAGGGGAAACGGTGGAGGAATAGCTCCCTGAAGAACACCGGTGTTCTTGATTATAGGTGAGGATATCTGTCTCCTAGCCGTATAGTCTGACTGTGACCAAGAAGAGTATACCTAAAGGACAGAATGCTGGAAGGATGTAATCCAGCACCGAACGGATCTTTCAACAGTAATTCGCGATATACGCAACCGAATGATCTGCTGCCGTCAAGCAGGCCGACTCGGGTGGACTTGATTCTACCTTCTAGTACCAGCGGAACAGGATACACGAAGCAAACTACTGTGTCTTCGGCAGATCTGGGACTGCAATAGACAGCTTGAAGGAGATCGGTCGATTGCGCCTGTGTCAGCATCCTTTAAGTCCACTGAAGTACAAGAAATTGGTCGATATTCGCTCGAACCCTTCTTTAGTACCGGTGTAATACTGAAATATCACCAATAGTCAGCTATTTATTGCCGTTGCATGTATGATGTATATAAATTGGTTTCCCTGAAGATAACGCAGTGAGCCAACAAGCTAAATTTCAACCCCAAAATCATGGGATAGTCTGACGTGTTGTGACATAGATATGCTAAAGATAGGCAAGGATCACGCACTCCAGACGCTTGGAGCCACTGAATTTTCTGACACATCATACAAGAAGCAGTTCCAAAGGCTAAGTGACGCAATCCATGCACATAACGAATGTTTGAAAATACCCCGAAATCCGCCCCGCAACATTTATAACTACTTTTCAACGAAAGCATTCCTTCAGGGTTTTTAACATCACACTGCTAACTGCAATGAACGAAGTCTACATATTCGTGGGAGTCGTTAGTCCTAACAGAATCAATCCGATCATCACCTAAAGCAACATTTACAAACTTCCAAACAACTGTGCATCTGTCGCTCCCCATCGATTCGACTTCCTCTCGTACACATACAGATGTCAGGGAACGGTTCTGTTTCTGTGCAACTGTATGAATGAGACCGTTTTCAGGCGCCTAGTGGTCGAGACTAGATTAGGGATACGATCTTTGTGAGAATCCACTGCACCGGAACGGAGGGTACCAGTTGTAGCGACCACCTAAGTGTCCAATTGGTCTAGTTACTGCATTGCAATTTGCTAGTCCTTGTCCGTTTACATTGGCTCAGCCATCTACATGGAACCAACAGGTAGGAAGCCGCCGACCAGTGCCCGCGCTTGCTCAATTGGCTCAAGCGTAGTCAATGTTGCGACATCAGGGACACACAAAGCGTCTGTTAGCCATCGAGATCAGGCAATTGTAGCCAGAATTATGAAGAGAGGGAGAACTCATGCCAACCCCCACCATGAAAAGACTAGGTCCCCATGTGTATTGCTTGATGGTATGATTGATTAAGTACATATTGCAGTACGTTTGGATGAAAAACTTCGGTGTCCTCTACGGCTCCAGATGATGTCCATGAATTCGTGAGTGGCAGTCCACGGAATTGACAAATGATTTACAAGCAAAAATACCAGACGAGAAGTATTGAAGAGACATGCTTTACGAATGAAGTGGTGATTGAAACGTAACATCGTAATATGGTTGCGAATGGTCCAAACTCGCTGGCTTGCTCTATTGCTCAGCATATCCCAGACTGTGCTATATGCAAAAGTCCCCGAGAATAGTTCGACTGGAATTCCATTAGGTGCATCACACACTGAGAAACAAACCGCACTCTGAGAGACAGATTTAGTACGTCTAGCTAACTTCCCTTAGGTGGCATGCAAGGCATGTACTGGAGCATGATCCATTGGGACCACAAGTTGGCCATCATGTGTGAGCGGCGATACCGTCCCCACACACGGCCAGGTTCAAGCACCTCACGGTCCATAAACAATGTGCGTGATATACTCAAGATTCCACTCACCAAATCCTTCAGATCAGACTGTGACCCTGACAGATCAATGCTTTCTGTAGAGCCTTTCACAATCCGGTGGGTCCCACACCGATGACCAACCGGTTGTTCCCTCAAGGCCGACAAAGTCAAAGTTTCCGGCATGGTAAAGCCACTGGTATACAACCTTCGTTTCCAAGATTTCCACAACGAGGGAAAGGGGGAGGAGTGGGGTGCAGGATAACCTTCATGTGGCACTTCCAAGATTTTCTGTCCCGCTGGAGGTGAATTTCGTGTTCCGGGTTGAATATCGCCCCAAGGAGGTAAGAAACCGCGTAATGTACAAGTGTCACCAGCAGCAACAGGACATGGGTCGGCGTACTGATGAACTGTGTGCTGCGTTCCAGTGCCTTGAGGAGTAGTATATAGGCCATCTGAATAGGTCATAAAAAGCACAAAGGGTTGAAGTCAGTTTTCGTGCCTTCATTTCCACTGATTCTAGCGAATACAAATGGGTCAAGAGAAAAATGAAGAAAGCATACTAGATATCTATAATCTTCCTGCACTACGTAACATGTGGATGCCTCAGGTTCAACTTGAACAAAAGAATGGATCTAGCGATTTCTAGTGTACTGACCTACATGCGTGCAGTTTTGCCACAAGTTGGCACATATTCTGTTGAACTTATGATATTGCGAATGATGCATGTGGCCGAGAACCCACCCAGAATCGCCGAAATGCCGCATAAATCGGAGTGTGCGTGCAAAAGCGATAGGGTCGCAGCTAATTTCGCTGGAATTTAATGCCACTGGAGGAACCAGCAGTATCGGGATAGTTTCTATTACTGCAGGATAATGGACGCCAGAATTAACACTACACATAGCTCCATCCGCACGCTCGACCTCAATGTACCTAAACTTCGAACATTAGGTAACACAGGTTGCGTATAGTCGTTAAGTATGAAGCGCCCTACAGGGTAGTTTCATTCCACTGAAGCTTTCTTGTCGTTTGTTATAAATCAGTTCCCAGAACCGGACACGTTTGTTGCAAATGTTGCAACAATCGGAGTGACACCTTCGGCATATGCTACTAAGCTGTCTACTAAAACGCACTCAAGATGCCCCCTCGATTGGTGATGGAAGGCATTCATTACAGTTGTCCGACTGGAAGAGCCAATCAACTTCCTTCCCATTTACATGGGGAATTTAAAACAGTCCCAGTCTTACCGTGCCGATGAATAAGGTGATGTATTTGGTTATGTGAATCAGGAGGGATCTCCTCGGATGGAGGGTAAATCTGGCCTCTTTCCGACAGCGGTGCCGAAGCACCCTCAGTGGACTGTCCCGAGTTCGCGTGCGAGCTGGGCTGATTCATGCTTGCGTAGGCATGTGAAGTCCTAGCGTGAATTTGTTTCATCGCATGTTGAGTGGCTCGGAACGCTTCTTCTGATTGCTCTTGTGAAACTCGAATCCGATCAGGAGCCCGGTGTTGTTTGGATGGAGACAATGGAGGTGTTCGACCGTGACATTGAATGTGCTGACGCCTGCAATTGAAAGATAATAGAACTTTGACCATTTAAGTAGATACCTTGTAGACTTAAGAAAGTGTGCAATTTCCAATAAAACGGTCGCTCCATTATAGAAGTTAAGACACGTGGGGAATCAAACAATTAACATGCGTGTGCGACTCCGCGTGCGGTCGTTCAAACTAAACTGATTAAAGATGTGTCATGTTGCTACAATCCTGACGTGCTTTATATATATATATATATATATATATATATATATATAATATATATATATATATATACTTTGTTTCATGCCCCTCGTTACTTTCAAATGTTTTGCGAGATTTGACAACCGCTTGGTCCAATGAGCCAACTATTTCTGATAGTGGAAATGGCATACCGTCTTCTTGATTGTGCTAGGTTCAAACAATGGCTCCACCATGAAATATACTACAGTGCGGGCCTCACCTGCGTTGTTCTGGCATGTTTAATTCTCATAACTTTACAGCAATGTGTCGCTAATGCACACCAGTCATACAATGGCTAGATGTATACAAGATGTGCGTCTGCTTTTACAGTGTACACAAATTGACTATTCCTGGGGGTTCACTCACTCGAAATCATCTACTCTTGGGCGCGAAGTGTGGGCTGCGCGCGAACTTATTGTGATTCAGCCACTGTGTCTGCGGAACTAGTTTTCAGATTTGCAGTGGAGATGGTGTGTCGTTGGTATTGCTTGCTCGGTCATAAGTTGACTCGTCTAGAGGTTTCCACGCGACCTCTATATACCGTTACCGAATGTTTGCTTTGACCTTTATATTGGACGGTGTGACTAGCAAACACAACCCCGTTTCTTCTCTTCTCTTCCAAAACCGGTCTTTTCTTTTCTGTGGAGGTCAGTGACCTCGAGTTTCAGATCGATAGCCGTCCGTCCAACCAAACGAATGACGACCACTTCAGTAAGTCAACTACACACTCCGCAGGTGCAAGTGAGTTGTCACTGTTCGCCGTTAAAGTGACTGGTTACTGTGCAAGCAGAGGCAGCCAACTTTGTGGTATTCAATGTTGTATAGCCCTCCGAGGGCTGAATAAATAATGGGTTATGAGCGACTTTCAATAGACTCTTCGGTGTGTCATATATAGCACACTAGTTTTTGTTACTTTCTATCAATATGACTCGTGGTTGCTGCCGACAGTATTCCGTCGCTGTTTCACACGGCAACATTCATTGCTCGAATACTGCTCAGTTTCTGTGGTCGTACAAGGCACTCACACTATCCACGCTTTAAAATGAGCTAAGCGTTACCGCTACCGTCTTGGGCCAATCAGCCACAGGTATGTGATCGGAGAGAATGTATGGAAGTACGGTGCATCCCAAAACGGGCGATCCCTGTTATGCTTACTTAGAGTCAGTAATTGAACTGTTTATTTTTGGTTTCGAGTTGATCCAAAAAACCGCCATGCCGTGGAACGCCGAAAGTACTAACGGATAAACTATATTCTATCTTGAAGCCACTACACGCCATACATTCAGAACTTCAGAATAAAGCTTCGATGGGCACTGTGGAATTCTCGAGTCAACACATGAAGCATTAAAGTGCAGGCATAATTGGTAGTAGTACAGAATCACGTGAGATGGTTTATCAGGTTACTCATCTAGGTAGCTGTGTCACCATTGATGGCCGTAGCACCGAAGAGATTGCTGTCCGCATTGACGAAACTCGAGTGGCATTTCAAGCTTCCCTGACTGGTGGAGGCTATGGAGTGTATGCTAATTCTTAAGCGAAGGATCTAACACGCTGTAGTGAGTCAGAAATTTGGCTGTCACGAGGTTTGATTACCCATTCATGATGGATAGGACCTAATGAAGTGTCTAGTGAAATCGCCTCGCCTCCACTGACCTAGTCGGCGACATGATATGCATGCCTGCGAGTCGGCGTCATTGGCGCGTTTTTCACCAATATTGTGTCGAGTAAGGCGAAACCTTAAGGTGTCCAATTTTTGACATGGCAGAATGACACGAAGAAACTCACCGATATGCTGAATTGTGTTAGTGTCTGGCACCATCCTGCATGTGGTTCTTGGTCTCCGTAGGGTTTGTGGTGAAACTTCCATGGAGTATTGGGTGGTAGCGAAGCTGGGGGTTCTTCTGCAATTGTAACCCTATTTCTGCCCCTTAACTATTCCATCGAACAACTGTACGTCGTACTGATTCCACTTTAAGTACCATCCTATTGGTTATTTTTAGGAATTATAGCTGATAACATCACATGCTTCACAATCCCCCTTGGATGGTTAGGGCACAACATACAAGCCGTAAGATTGTGCCAATAACATGAAGCATACTTTGTCGAAAGCACCAGGAGGTTCGCGGTAGCACAGATGTAATTGTTCCTCCTGGGAGCTTAACCGGGGGAGGGCTTGATCAGTAGACCGTTTGTTCGGCAGCGATGTGATAATTAGATGGGCATGGACTATAAAGTATGTAATGTAAATGTGCCAGTACGTTGTCAAGTCGCTTTTTAAAGTGTGTTGATGGGGGGGCATTAGTCATGTGCGCTAGGGAGGGGGAGAAAAAACTTCGTCTTCATTCCAGTCGTCTGGACTGCCTGAACAGTTAGAGCAGATGGTCTCGCAGCGATGTAGGTGAGTCTTAAGAGATGGTGATAAGGGTGGCTGTGGTAATGCAGTATCAGATGCAACCTTAGGGGACCGCCCCGTGGATGACGATAAAGTCCAATCTATGCTCTTGATGTTACTATATGTGTAATCTGCATTAGTATCATTACTATGTTTGTGGCGTGAGTACCTGCTGTCGGTTCGAAGCACGGCATATAATCGCACGCTTATTCAACTTTTCTTCGGAGTAAACATCTATCGACCTTTCGGTGCTGACCGATCCCAACTTCCAAATTTCCCAACCGGCTTCGTCCTTTTCTGTACCCTTCACGTAGAAATAGGCGACCAGTGTTTTGGCCCAAGTCCCTTGTTTGACTGTTGCATGTCTCACAGCTAGGACACCGAGCCCCACGTGCAACGACTGTTACAGCGTAAAAGAATCTACTTGGATGTCACAGAGGATTACTGTGAATCTTGGGATTGCGAGACTCACTTTCAACCCGAACCACGATCCACTCTGAATTGAAGCGTCGACATAGAACAGTACCGCGGGTATCTCCAACATGAAGTCGTATGCAGCCACGTTTTGTCTTTGAATAACGTTCACAACAGGCTGGATTCAATAATGAATTGATCGGTGCGACAGCTGTGAGTCTGTATAGGAGTCGTTGGTGTTGTTCGCTTGCTCACTTCGACACGTGGTCTGCGTTTTCGCATGCCATTGGGTATTGATTGATGCCTTTACGGCGTGTTACACGTTACCGAATGAGTGAGAGTGGGCGCAGAGGTCTCACGGAAAGGGTTCATACGGCGCCAGTGTGAGCAGTGAGTCACTCCCTCCAACTATGAAGCACCAAACACTCCGCTCACCGGCCTGGCTGCTCGGTGGTCCCGATGCCTGCTCACTCCACCACGTGAGCCCTACTCACACTATACACTGCAGCATCGATCGTCGGCACCTATGAAGATCGCTTATCACGACAGCGCATAAGTGTGAAACTGGCAGTGGAATTCCCACCGAAACTCACTCGGAAATAGAGTGCGAAGGTGGGTAGCATTTGTGAGTCAGACGCTGGTAGTGGGCGTACACTTCGTGGTATTCAAATTGTGGGAACGAGACCGCGACACGTGTGCAGTCGCTGAATCTAGCGTAGAAACTGGCGTAGAAGTGCTGGTGATCGCAGATGGAGGTCAAGAATAAAAATATTAGGGTGGCGCGCATCTCGGTGGGTTCACTTTGTTCACACAGGCCGACGCATAAAAGGGCCTACACTGATCACTTGGAAAAAGCAGGTTAGTTGCCCTTTCGGATATGACATGTCATCACTCGATGTACACATGCCATATCACGCAATGTAATTGGGTTAGTATATGACTAAGTCGCTCGTTGACTGTAGATAATGTGACAACCAAAGCAAAGCAGTTTGGAGGAGCAGTTAACGATTGACACATTCAGATACGGTGAAGATTCCGACATCACCACAAGATATATTGGCTAGTTGTTGGCTCCTCATGTTCGGTTGTTGCTGAGTTTTAAACATTGCGGCAGACACGATCGGAGTGCATCAAGACCTAGCGCAGCCCTACGAATTCAGCATAAAATACTGATCTACTATGAGTAATCCGATTTTTCCCTTGAAGTTGCATTACAAGCTACGGAATAAGCCGTTAACTCAGTCACCATCCGCCGTGCTTGTCTAAATACAGTGAGACAATACTTCTACCAGGGTTTCTATTGCCTAATGGCGCACCTCACAAGAGGTCTCATGTAATTTTTAAGTGTCTGCAGCAGAACGGAAAAATTAAAACCTTTCGATACCTTTTACAAGAGTGATGGAGGTTGACCAGCTTTTCCGGTGTTTTCAGTCCATATACAGTGGCCAAAATCGCATCGTGCTAGCGTTACGGAATCACTCCAATGAAAGGCAAGCTGCTACCCCAACCGCTACTTATGGTGAAGTATGCTCAACACGGCACTTGACCGCAACAAACCGGAGCGCGACCCGGGTCCTATTTATAACCAATATCCGGGTGTTAACTAAGAGCCTACCATCTGGACCCTTCTCTAGAGTTTGACTTCACCATCGAGGAGCAGGACATGAGCAAAGACCATTCGTGGGAGAGAATTTATGAAAACCAAGAACAAATATGGTCCCAGTACTGCGGCATGTGGCGCACACCATTGAAAGTCTATAGGAGTGGACAGGGATCGACCAAGTCCCACAATCGAGCACCGCTGATTGGATACTGAACTGGTCTTCGTAAGCTAATAACCTGGTCACCTGGGCTCCACCGTCCGCCTTGACCCAGTAGCAGGGTCACCACGTTCAAGTTCGTGGTAGTGGTTCGATTTAGGGGGAAGTTTCAATCTAACAAGTTGTTCGTCCGGCGACTTTCTATTCGCTACCGCATGTTTGATTGAGCATATTTGTACCAAACCTACTGGAAGACTTCAGCCCACACACTGCTCAGTTAGCATGTGGCTTGGTTGATTAGTTGAACTGACCGGTATTGTATCAATTAAGTGGAACACACAAAGGAAGCGATTCAGAAGGAATCTTAATACACACACTGGAACAGGTAAAATATTTTTCAGATGATCTGCTCCAATGACACGAAGCAGGGAGCAAGATTACAGGGTGATGCAATCCCAAAATGGTCGTTATCTGCCCATTTAATCTGACATTCAGTATTCGGAAAATGACCAAAATCTGTTGATTGCATTTAAATCGCGCGTTCGTCAGAATCTCTGATTAAATTGCCGTGGTTTCAAGAAGAACATGCGAACGCTATGGATGAAACAGTGTTCAGGCTAAATGACCTCTTCCCCACGAGACTGGAACGGTCGTCTTTGTTTCAAACTCAGCCTGATAACGCAGAGTACGCGATACCCAACCACCGTCCATTATCCTGCCTTAGTTACGACAAATTGGGAACTGTTTGCCGAAAATAAGCACACTATCTACCTAGGTATATATTTGCAACAGTCTATGAATAGACATTGAGCCATCGAAAACTATGGAACTCAAAACAAGATACAGAAATAGTAAAAGAAAAAACAACACAACAAATCAAAGTCCATGGTTTCCTCAGAGGGCGAGATACTACCCGGTTGCCCAAGCCGAAGTAGGGTGTTGACGTAGGGGACACCACCCCGAGCCTTTGGCTGAATAGCCTGCCCGCAAGGCAGCGGAGCGAATTCAGGGAATCGCGTCCATTGGGAGCCGGTGACTGATTGCTCAGTTCATACGCCTTTCGTTTGTTCCTTTGTCAAACAGGGGCCCAATTCTCCCCAAATTACAGCATCAACTTGCTGGAATACAATGCTTCGCCAGGATGAAGCAAGGGGCAGTGACTTTATTTAGTGGCGAGTCACGTCCGCCACGTCACAGTGTTGTTTAACGGACATATGTGGCTTTTTATAGGGAGAACGCTTGCCAGGCGAAAATCCACCCCGTCCTGGAACACTGCCGCCGAACCATTTGCTGGAACGGGAAAATCCCGAACCACTCAGCTGGCACCACGAGGAGGTTGTTCGGCAAGCCTAGGACAAATAGCTCAACATGTGTACCATCGCGACTTTGTTGCCAATCGGTCTTAAGGTGCCCAAAGACCCTGAAGGTGACGCCAGACACCGCTATTCTCACCATCGTTCTCGCACGTTCATTCGGTGCTTCCTACAATACATGGGTAATACGTTATAGATAACACAGTCATCTTCGCTGCACTGAAGCCTGCCACGCTGAAGCTTTGGTGTCAAAGCACGTGGGCGTTCAACGATGCTGCGTTCCCACTCTTGTCAAAGGTGAATACAGTCAGCGGACAGAGGTGTACTGCAACTTAGTACAGGGTGTATGGTGGCGGACGTCCTCGTCTTCCATGGAGCGGTATGTACGCGCTGGTATCGGTTACAGGGCAGGAACGAGAGTGCACTTACCAGACGGGAGTGGTAAGTTGGCACTGATGGACTAGTTGCAGTCAATGTGAGAGAGGTATATACTGCAGATACTTGGTACAGCAAACCGCAGCAATTCCGTCTCACTATGGAAGCCTTCGAGATGCGCGCTAACGCTTCATCCTATCTCATTCCACTGGTAGAGATGTGGTATCACCCTTACGGTAAATAAGGTCGTATAATACATAGCCTAGGTAGATTAAAAAAGCTTACTTTTTCTCCCGACGTCCAGTCACATTGTCACGGAACCCTTTGGCAAATGGATTGTTGTCTATCTTGAGTTGCGTTATCTGTATGGTGATAGAGGAGGTAAGAGATAATTATTGGAATATAACCATGGGATCCATCCTGTTGAAATGGAAGTGCTGGATCAATGTTCTACTATTACCAGGAAACTATCCCCAAATCATCTGAACATATGTGCTCACCCGGATGATTAGGTCATGCCGGTGGCCACGTTGCACTTTGGTTCGTGTAGCGAACAATGGGAGCGGCTCTGACTGTGAGCACATGTCGAGACATGCACACAAATAAGATGTTGATTTTTCCTCTAACTGTGTAATTTGGCCCTAGGCGTGTCCTCGCCAAGCAAGATGAATTCTTCAAGGTGTATTGGTAGGTAGCTACGCCAATGGTAGGCGAGCAAAATCCGTCACATCGATCCCAGTTTCCCATGCTTATCTTTGTGTTTATTTCGGATATTAATAACCACAATTAGATGCACGCTTTTGCGTTCAATACCCAGTAATTGACGTAGCTTTTGACCCGTCTGATTCCATTTTGGCTCGCTTGCTGTTACCCAGAATTAAGTGCAGAGAACATAACAAATCCTCCAAGGAACACTTTGCCCAAATCCCCTGATATACCAGAAGTACATGAGCGGTGAAATACGATATAAAACACACAATATCAGTATGCATGGTGGATTGTTAACGAGATTGCAAAATGCACCGTCACTGGCCTCGGAGCAGAACACCTATAAAAGACAAATCGTCAGTTCAATTAAAAAGGGTTTTCCGATGCACAAAAGGAAAACAAAGCCAAAGCCAGTCAACTGCATATTAATTTCGATTACTTATAGCGCAGATAGTATAGAGTATACATCAATAATGCACCAAGGATGTAGTCGGCGGAATCGGAAACCATTGACCAAGACATGACCAGCCCATTACTGGACCATAAACGCAACAGCCTGCGTAAATGTACCACGATCAATATACCATTTTCATCAACGGAGTCCTAAGAGGCTGTCTCAAAGCACAATAATCCCCCCACCGTACGATAACAATTGCATCCCCGCGAATGCACCACCTGGCAGTCTATCCAACTGCAGTCCGAATTATTACGGCCGTAATGAACATAAGCGCTAGTGTATTAACCGAGGACATGCGTCTCCGGCTTTTCCATATGCTCATCTGTAAAACACGCGCATAAGTTAGCAGTTATCATGGTGGGGAAAAGTGAATGAAACTAATCTGTTCATCTGTGACCCGAACAGCTGATATTTCCATGTAGTTCAATTGCAAGTTATCTGACTCAGAGCTTATGATGAGACAACTAGAGCATTTCTACCTTCGTGTCAGCCGTTTAGAGGTAATACTACTGGTTAGAAACCTAAAACGACACCTCATTTCGATGCGACATGAGATGCCATGAACCGCTCTGCCGCTTCGGTTGCTTACACCACCCCCGAAATCACGGTGTTTAATGGTAAGATAAAAGTTCATAAGGTATTTCTCCTTAGGTTAAAGTTAAAAGAATTCTATGCTCATAGTATAACGCTTTCTTGCAGTTCGCCTGTTCGACTGAGGACACGCAATATCTCGAGTGTAAAAACTTTTGCAAGCCAATTCATCTACCATGGAACTAGCGGGTAAACCGCCGGTGTCGCCTGACACCAACCCACATTCTCTTGATATCAAACGACTTCTGCAGCCTCGCGGATGAAAAATAAACCCAGCCCACCTATCTTACCATTCCTTCGGCGATTTAGAGGTGTGACAATCATTTCCGATTATAGCAAACTGAATTACACTTAACAAACTCACCTTCTCATTTTGATATGCAGTGACGGCAATGAATTCGGTCTCGTCGAACACAAAGGTGGAGAAATCAGAGAAATTGATATTGGCCAAGTGATCAGCTCTCACGATGTGGACCCGGGGAACGTATTTGTGCATGGAGTTGAGAACGGCTTGCTGATCAATTAAAACAATGGAACTATCTTAGTTTAGTGGGCCGCGTGTGATAGAATATGGTATAGCAGCGGCGAATATTTAGTTTGCATGAAACCAAGTTAGCATATTGGATGACCGTAAGCGTGACAATGGTTGCTGATGGACTGTTAGCCGGTTATTGATAGGTTGCTTTCCTACCGCTCAAACTATTGGTCATGACATGATAGCCTAATAAATCCGCGGAAAGCGGTATTTGAAAGGAGAATTAGTAGGATACATCACAGGAGTTTGGGGCCGAAGAGTCTACACGTTTGCAGAATAAAAGTGTGGTACCACTACATGAGTGGGGAACGGTGCCATTGGGACCTGTCTGCATCCCGCTTATCCAAGTTTGCATAAAACAAGGTAGCGATTGTGTGCTTGCTAAGATGTTCACTCCACCACGCGACCTTTGGCTATTCAACTGTCACGGTTTGTTTCGGCTCCTTCAATTACTTGCACGGCACAATCTGCTGATGCTCTGTTCCAGACATTTTATCGTTTCCTATTTATGTTGGGATATGACCGGTAGCAATAAAGACTTGGATGACAACAAGTTAACTCAGTGTGAATTACTATATCATCTGAGAGTCGAGTTCAATCATGAGGTTAAAAGCACCTCTACTTTTCCAAGCTTGCGATTATGATTGAAAACCGCTATTGGTTTAGTTGGTAAAATGCTTATCAGCAGAAAACGAACCTTGTGAACTACTTCGCTCGCACTGAACGGGTATGTTTTGCCTTGTACGGACAAGGAGACTTCACTGTTTCAAATACAGCAAATCCGGTGAAAAGTCCCGTTCACCGACTACAAGTGTAATCTAAATGCGCGATGATTCGCGATGCGTGTGAACTCTTTGTACCGTTTCACATCAACAAGGCTGTCAAGTTGTATTCTTACCCACCCTAAAAGCGTCCAAATAACTTCCGTCTGTGAAGCACTGTGGAGACCCACAGTTAGGATAGAAATGTTTAGCGAACCAGACCTCACAACTGATGCTAGACCACACGTATGCTGACGTCGAAAGAGTGGACGTACACAAGCATGCGAATTCCCAACTAAACAAGCACAATGCTCCTCTCGCTGGTGTAGTGCACCACTTCTCCGGTAATTCCTGGTCAGACAGTTGGGGATAAATGGGCCTCAGTTGTAAACTTTCAAGACGGGAACTGAAGGTGTAAGGTGCGTAAAAATATCGCTGAGATGAGACGGCAGACTTGGCATATAAATAATCAGTGCAGCTGATAAGGTTTGTCTACCGTCGGGATAAGCTTTACCACCTGTCAGCGACACCTCTGTTATCGTTATCTCATGCACGCACTTACAAATGGCTGACATTCGGCCACATTGTTGGTCAGCTTCAGTTTGTGAAATGATATCGACTTCTGCATCCATTCCTCTCCGGTAGCTGGTGAATCCGGATGGATGTGGTGCTTTCGTACAACAGGGTCGGGGTCCGCCTTTCCGGCTACAATCCACTTGCCATTGTGAAATTTATACCGGTGCTCATCTCGCGCTACTAAGTCCAGTAGCACGATGTACTTGACGGTCGGATCGAGTCCGCGCACCTTGACCTTGAAGGAGGGGAACATCCGTCTGTTGGTGTGAAGGGAGAACACGGAGAATGTAAATCGTGCAGCAACATCCCATAAAAATTGTCAGTGTAACTTGGTAATTAGTCAACTTATAACCACTAGGGGAAATTGTTCCAATGCCAACGATTGGTTCATTTAATTGAGGCTTACATTCCCTAGATGCATGTGCCGGGAAACAGCTATGCAGCATGGCTGCACAATTCGGAAGTACGTAATGTTCGGATTCGCAGAATTGTGTGTGACTGAATAGAAGGTGGATGGCCGGACACATCTAAACAACGATGTCTCTGTGGTCAGTTGATCCACGAAGTGAAATTATAGAGACATTCCTTCTGTTATTTTCTGCACATTTTCCAGGGTTGATGCGACAAACGTAGGATCACAGCATTGAAGCCTAACGTTTAAAAGGTCGGTCTGTCTGGCAGTTCAAGCATAGCTGTGTTTGATACGATTGCTGACTACACGGGACCCGGAACCATTGACGGCCCTTTGATAGCAGCTGGTCCAAAGAGTGATTCCATTAAGCAACAAACTACTGCCCCAACCCTTGTGCTGTGTACTCCCAACCACCCTGCCTACTCAACCCACGCGTCAGTGGATGACTGGCATCCATAGATTGGCACTCGCTTAGACAGGTGCCGTAACGTGCCTAGCACAAATCTTGGACTTTGTCACGTGACCCGACAGTACCGCCACGTGATCCGCACGGCCATGGTGCTACCGGTTCCCATTGCTTTGTGTTCGAACTGAATGGGCGGGGCCGCACACTTTATGAAGGACCCTCTGTAGTAGCAGTCTCTGTAACAAAGACCGTCAGAAACGAAGGGAACCAGCCACTTTGCACAATACAGTTGCGGCTTCCTCGTTCACGTGTGCATAAATTAACAGTGCGTCAGCATTACATACAAACCAGCTAGTTATATCATTAATGTTAGTCACGCATAAAACGAACTATTTTTGGAAGCTAACAAATTGGCGGTTACCGTTGAGCTGTGGGTAGCTAATCGGGAATCTACAACTTTCATAGTGGTTGAATGATCCCAGTGGTCCTATCTACGTGGTCACAAGAAAACCTTGAACAGCGAAGCCACTTTACTTCCAGAATCACAGAACTCATTGAATGCTCACTATGTTCACCCTACCCTTACGAGGATGAAGTGCAGTTATAGAACACTGGGCCACACCAGAATACAAGAAGAATCACAGTCTTCTTATTCCCGAGTGTCTTTTGATGGTAACTGATTAGAATGGGCGAGACAACTCGTCTTTCAACCTATGTGTTATAACACCTGTGCATCTCGTCCATTCGTATTGCATGCTCCCAACCTGCTCACATCAAGTGTCTGCAGCCAAATAACAATTTTATGGATCAACACATTCATTAGACACGGACCGTCAGCTTGTTTACGAATGGATCAGCTTCCGTAAATAAAAGGTTTCATGGGTAATAAATAAATAACTAAATAAAATTTTATTCTCTACAATGCAAGACACACCTTTATAGAACTTATCATATTAACAAAGCATGATCAAATATGTACAACAATACAGCGTGTTTCCCGTAACAGTGAATGTTTGTGTAGGAGTGTGTATATCTATGCAACTGCGTGTGTGTAGCTTTGTAGTTTGTGTTTGTAAGTGTGCCGCTGCATCCTTGACTGTTTGATAGCGTCGGCACTGTGAGAATAGATGATTGATGTGTGTGATTTGGATAGGATTATCCAAATATTCAAGGGGAAGAGACTTTAGTTTGTGGCGAGTCACGACCTCCACGTCATAGGGTTAGTAAAAATACATTTGTGGCTTCAAAGTTGGACTTGGAGAATCCGCTGTGTGGTTGTGTTGCTACAAGCAACCTCTATTGAGACCTCGGTTCACTTGAGGTGGACGTCTGTCATTCCGGTCACAAGGACCGTACGTAAAATGGAAACATTATGGTGTTGTTCATCCCAACGCTGGCACCCCACGACCGCGGGTTCGTCCTGGTTTGGACTCATCAGGTGGAGATCGTGGTAATGTTTCCATTTTACGTACGGTCCCTGTGATCGAAATGTCCGAGGTCCACCTCAAGTGAACCGAGGTCTCAATAGAGGTTGCTTTTAGCAACCCAACCACACAGCGGATTCTCCAAGTCCAACTTTGAATTCGTTTCCGCTGTACCAAGCGTTGCTCGCGGATCTCAGTGGCATAGTGCTTATGGCGTCAACCATGAGCAACTAGGCTCTGAGTTCCGGCTCAGCTCAGTCTATCTCCACCTGATGAGTCCAAACCAGGACGAAACCGCGGTCGTGGGGTGCCAGTGTTGGGATGAGCAACATCATAATGTTTACATTTGTGGCTCTTTATAGGGAGAACGTTTGCCAGGCAAAACCCACCACGTCCTGGAACACGGCCACTGAACTATTTGCTGGAACAGGTTAAACCAGAAGCACTCAGCTGGTACCACGAGGTTGCTCGGCTAGCCAGCCGATGTTAAGGGTCTGGACATTCCATCATCCAGTTCATTGCCGCTTCTTATAAAGTGGCCATTTCTAACCGTGCGTACAGAAATTATGTCTTCACAACAGACAATCCTACAAGACGATTACGTATCACCTGTCGAACCAAGGTCACTGATGGGATCATTTGAGATTAAATGACCACAGTTTCCGCCCTCTAGGGCTTTGCGGTTCCTTTCGACATCGCTAGTTTACTAGAAACCTGCTAGTATTGGACCGTGACTAGGCCGAACAAGATTGCCGGTGGAGTAGGAGTCGAACTCATCTAACTGAACATTTTAAAGACACTTGTTTGGACATAGCTCAGTGATATACACTACAAGCTGTAGAACAGCCTTACCGACCAGTTCTTGTGACGAATGGGTAACTTTCCACAAGTACACTGCATTGGAAGACAGAAGAGTGGGAATCCAGCTACGACCTCATCCAAGTCCGGCATTTGGGCCTTGCCGATTCTTGACTTCAACGAATCAGCATGGTTACCATCCCAATTTTTCCACTCTTCGTTGGTAATAACAAGAAATGTCTGTCGGACAATCGTCAGCGGCTCCACCACTGTCTTGTTGAAGATTCAAGTTGGTCCACCTAGAGTAAGCTGCCGCTTTGTGTGGGCAAACTGCAGTCAGTCAGATACGCTAACAATGTGTATACAGTTTTGACCTAAACTTACGGACCACATCTCCGGTTTTTGCCTACAGGACGATCTCGACTGTTCAACGCAGTAATAGTTGGCTTTAAACGGTGTAGTGACACGATAGTCGCGGGTGGAGAGTTCTCAGAAGTGCCAACTCATCGAATTCCCCATTGATGTCTAGTGCTTGAGTGCGCATTCCTGTCGAACATGCTGCACACACTTGGAAGGTTTGACGAAAGGGTTCAGTTAAGTTGCACAGAGATGCAGACACCAGCCATCAAGTACCAAGTTCAAGATTGTACTCCCAGCTTCAGCCAGGTACCCCTACCTGAATGGTGTAAAACAGGAGGAAACCGGTTGTACCGAATCCTGTGTGGCGCCAACTGCACTAAAAGTATGGTTACATTGCATCTCAATTACAGAAGTACGCTACAAGTTTGTGCATATGGTGGCAATTGGCGTAGATCTCATGATTACCCACCTCCACCCCAGACGACAAACATTATCCTTGGCATTATGGGGAGAACAGTGCCGAGGTCAGTGGGAATAATTAACCAGATTAAATCTCGTGTTGTGTCTTCTTACGATGAGGGTGTAAACCGGACAGTCGCATGGGTTCAATGCTGACGAGGACAGCCGAACCTCAACAACCGCCGTCATTCGGTCGTTTACCGCACAATGCTGCATCTGCACTACGCGCTGTCCCCACCTGTGTGCAGCTTTCCTCAATGTGGAAGGTACCCGTATGATAGAAGCAGTTGTCTGGATGTCTACGTCGGAACCATGACCCAACCAAATTCCTAACACAGCCCAACTCCACGTGGGTATGTCGGCGCCCTTGATCCCGAAGTTCTACGACACCTGGGGAGCTAGTAAAAAATGGCTGCGACCCACCGAAAACGGAGGTGTATACCATGTGCGAAAATCTGAGGTGCCGTATCGCACCAGTAGTGGTCTTGTGAGCGATGGAGAACAGAAGGAACATCCACGCTAAAGTGGATTGTTTGTTCATTTTAAAACGCACACTGATGGAATTTGAACCACACCACACGCGCGTTACTGTCACGTCATGGTCCCAGGAGCCAAAGTTTCGAAATGCTCCTCATTCAACTTTGCCTGTTATGGTACATAAATGGGTGGAAGTTGCGACCGGCTCCGTCAGACACAGTTGCAACATCACAATGAGGCGGGTTGTCTTTTCGATGTCGTCTGGTGCAAATCATGCTTCCACTACCAATCCAGTCTTGCATTGACTCCAGAAGCCGAACTGGGCTTTTATACCGAGGTCGAGCAAGACACATACCGAGTGGGTTGCATGTCAATTAGAACATGTTGATGATCCAGCGGGGCACGAAGCGCACAAACGCCGAAAAACATGCGTTGCTCCACAAATGCTTTGCGTGACAGCACATCCGCAGGCACGGGGATTACACCCTTCTAATCGTAGACGCCCAACTGCGAGTGGCCATCGTGCGATTTTTGCCTCTGTCCTGGTACTCATCCAAGTCATCCAGCAAACCGGATCGAGTAGGTACATCGTGGGTTAATTTGACGAAGCTCAGTTGGCTCCAAAATGAGGCATTCACCGATTTACAATGGATCCAATTACCATGAAAGATGCATCGCACTGAGATTGCGAGTTGAAAGCCTTGGATGAGGCCAAAGTATTGGGTAAAAAGCTTGACAGCAAGAAGTAAGTTGCCGAAAGCAAGACTAGGTGTACATGGTTCGGTAGGTCCCTTCTTGTCTCCGTAGGAAGGTCACCGGTTTGTACCCAAACCACCGGATACATGGGAGCCGCATTGTTGATGAATGAGCGGCCGTTCAGTGCTTTTTCTGATTTACTGTGAATATCTGACTTAGTTTAAC